TGCATTCCATTTCACCTGCTTAAAATATAAGTCCAAGGCAATAACATCTTTCTTTAATTGTTTAAAACAGTTATATCCAATGTTTTGATAGGAATAAATGAAAATCAAAGAAATCCATGGAAGTCGCCATTTGTAGATTTTCGAAATTTCGTTATTTTTTTCTTCTTGTAGTTATGTCACATAATTGTTTTTTAAATAGATTAATACGTTAAATTGAATCGCTTCTTTACGTTATCTAAAAATATTTCCTATGTGTAATTGTGAATATTTATTTAAAAAACCTTCGTGAAATAAATGTTTAATAACTTTTACATAAATGTAAGTAAGTACAACATTAAATATTCAATAACATCAGCAATATTAATTTTAAACATATTTAATGTTTAATAAAATTAAATAAAAGTTTGCGCAAAAAAATTAAAGTGAAAGTGAGTCATTTTGCAAGTGTACTTTGTCGTGTTGATTCTAATTACAATACGACAAAGTCAGTACAACATCAAAGGCTGCGACGAACAGTGCGAATACTCTACTCTACTCTATCAATATAAAATCCCAGCCAGAAGGAAACCGTTTGACGAATCGAATCTGTGTCGTGTTTCCTTATTCCTTCAATTCAATCTAAATTTTATATGTAGAAAGTTGTTTACTTGTTTGTGGAAAATGAAGTTAAAATGAAGAAACTTTTTCACGTCACCTTGACGAATTCTCTGAAAATTAATTCATATCCTGTCTTGAATACAGCATTCAACACACACAGAGTTGTATTGGTTGACATTTATATATCCTCAGCTATTTCTCTGTTTAATTTCCACTTACAAAGAGAAATGATATCATAGCACTGAAATTTCGCTATTTAAGTAAATTATTTTGGAAAATTTTAAATAATAAAATTACTGCAGAAGTGTTTCATTTGAAACATTATGAAACGATCCGTAAGAACAGACTGTCTTCTTTTTACCCTGTCCTATTTGAATCAGCGCAGAAAGGATGGAATAAAAGCTGCTGACGACCTGAAAATAAAGTCAAACAGAATTAAACATAGAGTTCGTCTGCAGATATTGAAAATTACGACTACAATCACTATGAAACAAATGTATAATTTTGTTATATTTTCTGGCTAAACGATGCCTTAGAGACTAGTAGCATATATAAATGTGAAATCTCTGCTACATCCTTTTTTCTTAAAAAAACGACAATATACACAAGATTTTGAAAAGTTTGGCATTAATTTGACGACAAACTCAAGCAACAAAACAAAAAAATTATTAAAAAGTATTGTACTTTCGTATTGAGAACTTAAACATGTCCGTAATAGTTTATAAACTAAATTGTACTTATGATAATAAAGTATATTACGTAGGGGAAACGGGAAGATCATTGAGAGCAGAAATTAAAGTGTACGAGGCAGCAGTTAGGTTAGGGAATAAACAGTCTCCGTGGGTTGTACAGTACGTTGTAAGGAAATGTAAAACTTAAACTTAAAGGAAAAGTCAAGCATTTAAGAAAGTCTAAAGAACATATAAAGTAATAATCCCTAATGAAAGATTAATAAATTTAAATAGATGAATCGAGATTGATGACTGGTGGAATGACGTTACCATTAGCAGTAAAAGCTGTATAGGATAAAAAAACGGGATAAGTAAGGAGTTGTAAAGTTGTACCGGGTGGTAATTCGTATGTAAATATTGCTTAAAGGAATGAACTGCTTTATTTTAGAAGAACAATCGGAGTATTGTACATTTTATTATACATATTTATTTTTATACATTATTAATCTTTGTTATTTTATAGCTTGAATAGACACCTTCCTTCCAATCCGAAATGCTTAGATTTAAAAGTTTATTAAAGATCATTACTTATCCTGAGACATTAAAACACACACACATATATACGTATGCTTAAAAGCAGAAAATATAAAACTGAATATTGGTTCAAGTTAACGTTTCTAACACTGAATAATTAATAATGAGTTATCTCACCCTGATAGGAAATTTCTTTTTGATGTAAAAGAAGCCTCCTATGGATATTCCAATGGGTGTTTTCCCAAATCTCTTCATATAATTTAGCATCTGAAAAAAACAAGTAAAATATTATTTAACATTTTCATATACATATCAAGGAAGACAATATCATTGATTACGGAAATTTTGTATAAAAAGAAATGTAATCTAACCTTCAATTTGTACTGGAGACAAAATTCTTCACAAGAAAATCGATTCATTTCATTAAAGCTTTGATACAACTAGAAATATAAAAAGCATTATGAGAAAAACATATAATATATGAGCATATACTGTATAAGAAAGTATCTTACAATTGATGTAAATTTGGATAATCCGAAAGAAATAACAACGGCAACGGTCATTGTAATTAGGGAAATAAATGAAAAGATGATGACATAGAATAAAGGAAAGTTTAAAAACATGGCCCCAGCAATAAGAAAACACGCGAAGTACATAAAGAAACAGTAAACAACAGCGAAAACCATATCGTATGAGTGGTTATAACGTTGAATGCAATACCACAATTCTGTATGTTTCTGTATAATTGCTTCGACGCTTGCAGACAAATTTCTGGTTTCAGAGTGAATTTGAGTAAACTCTTCTGATGTTTTACTTAATCTAGAAGATAACACAAAATAAGTGGAAATGATAAGAGAAAAAATAGAATAAAATTGACCCGTTAGTAGCACAGTCAACAGCTGGAAATCAACGTAACAAAATATAACTTCCAAATCAGACGACTCTTCAAGAACATTGTACAAGAAAAAATCGAAGAAAAATAAAAATAATAACTGCGTTATGAAATAAGCTATAAGGAAAAAATTGCAAATAAATTCCACAGAATTTGTTACTTTATCTTCGCCTTTATAAGTTGAAATGTTATTAGGAATAACATAGTGCGTACGTTTTAACACGCTGTATTGCGATATCATAACAACGATGGTTACAAGAAATACAGAGTATACGAAATATTCCTTGTCTGGAAACATCTGAATCCACGTTCCACAGATGACGTCGTCTCTAATTAACATCAAAGTAAAGAGAATAATATTAAAATAGAAAATTAATTCAATCAAATACGAATGCAATTCGATTAATTTGCTACGTTCGTTTTGATGTTTTTGCATATTCCTCTCGGTGCTGTACCCAAATATTTTATTATAATTTATAACAGGATATAGAATTCTTAGAGCAATGGAGCAACCTTCGTCTCGCACTATGGATGACATTTTTATCAGGAGAAATTTCTAATTCTATTATTGCAAAGATTTCTCTTGTATGTCGTTTTAAATTCAAAAATTTTGTTTATAGATTATCAAATTAACCTTTAATTTCTGTAACAGTTAGATCTGTTATTATTTTCGATACGACAGAACACTTTAGGTTATTCAATTTAACGCTCATCAGTTAAAATATACCATAATGATTCACACTTTCTTCGGAACATTACTCTCGTCATAACATCTCTTTAAATCCCAGCTGTATGAATCTATATATTTTAGTTTAAAATGAGTCTAGCTTTACTACGAATGAATACTATTTCCCGTACCATTTTTCTCATTTAGCAAGCATGTGATAATTTGATGTAAAACATGATGCAAACGAAGTTTAGCCTCACTTCACACTCATCCTATCTGTTACGCGGAAAAGTATTAAAACCAAGATTTGCGATTTTTATTCTGTCCACAGAAAATGATCAATTAAAAGTTCATTTCGCGATAAAGATTTAACGAGGGTAGACTCAGTCCGAATAGATAATTAGACACTTGGCCACAAACGACGTCTCCTCTTGAGAACTGCTTGTTTGACAAAGATTCGTTATCTCGTAGTATTTAGCCAATTACTATCATGGAGATTTCTGTGAGACTCATTACATCATAAGAATTGTTAACATTCCATCTTTAAAAGCTTTCAATCAGAAATAAAGCTTTTATCTCAATTTAAATCTAATTAATGCAAATTAATTAATATCATAAATAATCATATTTGAATAATGGATTATTTTCAGTTTCGAACGTTTCATATGCAATTTTCTTACATGAAATATTCTAATTACGATTACTAATCGCTACAAGAATTACATACATTTACATATATTTTAATGGCAAATTTCTAAAATCAAATTTCTATATAATTTGAATAATAGCATTTAATTTCAAGTCAATTTTGTTACATTCTTTATAAAATTTATGCTAATGTATTGTAATTTCAGTTTGATATTTTATGAAAATTTGTAATTATAATTAAAAAATACTTCATTTACGAAAATTGTATGCAAACGGTTTGATGCTAAAAGCATTATTAATTATTCATGATATTAATTAATTTGCATTAAGCAGATGTGAAGAGATTAAAAGGTTTTTTTTATAACGATTTTACTGTCTGAATATATATTAGATAAAATGTAATTAATTGATATGATGTAATGAATCTCTTTATGAATTTTTATGACAAAAATTCTTCGCTGCTATGCTAAAAGTTTCGTAAGCATAATGATTTAGATAATGCAATTTAACGAAAGAATTTACTGAAATTCAACTCTCAAACACAAATCTACTTGATCGAATCGGAATGATTATACCAGAATATTCTCAGTTATGGAACTGCATTGAAAGTTGCAATGTCATACACAATGTCATAAATAGAAACAAAATAGCTTTTTTGTTGCCGAGAAATACATATAATTGTAAAAAAACAAACGTTTTCTGCCCAATTAACAGGCCATTTTCAGGTCTATGGACTTTCATCGACCTGAAAATGGAACGTAAATGTTCCATGAATAGAACATAAAAATTTTAAATCAAAAAATTTTACAAGAGAAAAATAACGGAAGAATATATAAAATTAAAATAAAACAAAAAAATAACAAATCTTACAATGTACTAATTCTGGTCCAAGTTTCTAGTAAATTTCTTAATTATGAACTTCCACGCTGAATGCAGGCTCTCGGCATATCTCGCATTTAAACAGCCTTCTCTTAGCCTACTTCTATATATTTCAATCTTTTCCGCTGTTATTGCTAAAGTTGGGGAAGACAGAAGTTTGAGGTTTGATGATTGTTGCCTCGTCCCATTTCACCTCAGAGCCTTGGGCCTGCGCCATTTGGGACAAAATCGTTGAATTAGACGCTTTTCTTATGACATATTTATGTTCTTGGAGCCTTACTCTCAAGTTTTTGGTGGTGACGCCGATATAATTTTTTTTAACATCCAGTTGTAAGTTCTCATAAGGAATCTTATACACCCCTGCTTTCTCCTCCGCTTTGATACTATCCTTATCATTTCTCAACATCTTATACAAATTGGGGGCTCTTCTTAAAATCATTCTTGATTCCTTTCGACTAGCAATTTCTTTCATAACACTGTTCATACTACTATTATAAGTAAATTTCATGAGTCTAGTAGGAACATTACTTAAGGTTTTTTTTACTATGCCCCTTTCATACTTCTTAAGCATTCCTACAATTACACTTTTTCTGTAACCCAGGGTCCGGGCCACCTGCAATACTCTATCAATCTCCTTCGCTCTGTCACCGACTCGGTCACAATATAAATTATTCCTCCTTATTAACGTTCGGAAGGCTGCCATCTTGTACTGATATGGATCCATGGACTGGGAGGGTATGTACAATGGGGTGTGTGTAGGTTTAGTATAAACGCTTGTGGACAAATGCCCTTTCATAAACCGGATATTAATGTCCAAGAAGTGCACATTAAAAGTACTCTTTTGTTCTAATCTCAATTTAAGTCCATCATTGTTATCATTAATTCTACTCATAAATTCATGTACCCTACTATTATTTCTCCATAAGATAAGGATGTCATCCACATACCTGCTGAAATATACGATATCTTCTTTGAATCTACAAAGAACCCTTCTTTCTAGTCTTCTAACAACTAATTCACAAAGGATTCCTGAGAGGGGACTTCCCATCGGAACCCCTCTTTTTTGTCTGTAGACTTGACCACAAAACGTGAAGCACGACTCATAGCATACTAGGTTAGCAAGTTCTTCTAGCTCGTGTGTGTAAAGAAGCAACTGGGAGTTCTTTATGTACAAGAAATCTAATAACGCATCCACGTAAGACTCAATCATTACATCAATCACTTCATCTTCCATTAAAGATATACTTTGTACTTCCTTGACAACAACAAGAGGACCCTGTGCCACTAGACTATCAGCATCAAGGTGTGAGGATAAATACTCGTGCAACCTTTTTTCTAATATAAAGGTGGGTCCTCTGCATTTCTCTACACTAATATAAAGGTGGGTCCTCTGCATTTCTCTACAACTGGCCTTAATTCCATTGGGTCTTGTGGGTCTTAGCGAAAGCAAACAATCTTGGAGTTCCGGGCCTTGGGTTCTGGCATTTCTTGAGAAAAGGCAAAACAGCAGAAAGTTCCGAGCGTTCCAGCTTCCTGCCCCTTCTGTCCAAAGATCCAACCACCTTGTCGCCAACAATTTCACATTCCGTCTTTTTGATGTAAGTATGCAACTTCTTGTTATAAGTATGCCTTCTCATGATAACCAAATGCTTAGTCTTTTCTGCTCTTGTCATCACAAGATCGTTTAGCCTTAACCACTCCTTCGTGAGACAAATGTCTCTACTAGTAATACCATCTGTCCTGTTCTTCGGCCGGTTGTTAATGACCGCTTTCCATCTAAAGTATTTCTTTTCTAATGCATCCAGTCCAACTACCCCTCTCTTAATCTCTTGTACTGATGTTTCCGAACCACCTACATCAGCAGGGACAAAGTTCGGGCCTTTCTCCAGAACCTGCTTGATTTTCTTCGGTATTTCTATCTGGTTCGGTATTTCTAATACGTAGAAGGTACTAAGGTTCTTCCTATTATCTCTTCTCACTTGCTTGTGAATAATCCATTTCAACTTTTTCACATATTGCTTATTGGAATTCCCACAAACAGCTTCTGCCAACTCCACCACCCTTTTATTGATATCAATCAGTTTGGCCGGATCATCATTATATATGGTGTCTTCCAAGCAAATAAGCTCACTCAATATCCCATACTTTTCGTTTTTGACTATTCCAATACTGTAGACTTTTTGAGGCACGCCAAACAGAACCTCATTTTTAGAAAATGGTATTCCGTAGGGATGCTAATTAGGTAAATCGACATGGGATATACCTTATTCTTTAAACTTTTTTTTTTTAAATTCCAATTTACAACAAGCTTTAACAAGCTTTAACGTCAACTTCCTATACCTCTTGTAAGTTTCCACCGGTGCCGCCATAACAACAATATCAAAAGCGCTCAGCAATTAAATAAACAGAAAAAAAAACAACAAAAAAGGTGCTTTGTTTCTGTTTATTTAATTGCTGAGCGCTTTTGATATCACAATGTCATATATACAAAATTTTGTTTACAATCATAGGATCTAAAATACTCGGGGGGTCGATATAAGACCCGTTAAAATAGCTTTTCTCTATTATTTATAATAGCCAAAATATAAAAAAAACAGCACGCTGTAAGCAGCATAAATGTCTTTAAACATTTGCAGTTTTTGACATTATACGAGTACTAGATGTTCTTGAATTCCTGGTGGTACGGCATCTTTCTAAAAGCAAGACATTTACACGGAATTGACCGAGTAATCACGTATGCAAGTATTCTGCAATTCGGAATTTTTTATAAACGTGTTATTCGAATGCCGATACAATACATTTCCGGCAAATAAATATTAAGATTTTGCTGTATTGTCCAAATTTAACTAAATCTTCAACTTCGACATTTCAGAACATGCGGATAAATATGCATAAAAATGAATTGATACCAAAATAAATTACTACTGTATTTTTGCATTCTTGTTTTTCGTTTATTTTATCTTCTAAATACCTAAAAACTATTTCGATTTCATATTTTTAAATGAAATTAATAATGACCACAGAACAGTGGCGCATTATAGCTGCTGCACGGGGCCTAGGATAATTTGAATTACCAGTTCCAAGTACAGTGTTGACTTCAGACATTTTTCTTTAGGAAAATTTTTGGGGAATTATTTTCTTATAAAAAGTTTATGTGGAAAGTTATTGACCTAGGTAATTTGTCCTTTGTTTCATACGACGACACGCCACTGCCACAGTAACTAAAGTTTCTTAGAACGTTTATTGTATTCATTTATTTCTTAATTACATTAATCTTTTATACGTTACGAGAAGCTTCTATTCTGTTTTTACAACACTTCAAATTGAACAGAGCAGGAAGAAGATAGGCTGTTCTTCCAATAGCTGTTATAATAGTACAACAAATGAAGCTGTTTTAATGTCGAAGCACTCGCCTACCTTTTCGAGAATTCTTCATGTAATGTATTCATTCACTGCTTTATCTTTATACTAGTTATAGAACACTGACATCAGTATTGATTTTCGAAAGTATTATTTTATTCTTTACTATCTTTTGAAAAGAACAGGTTTAAATTCTCAAAAATCTACTTTAATAAAAAGTACTATAATATAATTTTCATGTCGAAAAATATCGAATATGGACGTGAAGTAATTCAATTACGATGCATCGATTTATTGAACGCACTTAGCTTAATTTCATGCATTATGCACTATACTTAATTATAACAGTAATAAATCAGTTGCGATTAATCGATAGCCATTAAAGATTTTCATATATCCTATGTAGAATATTAAGCTTATTCGTAAAATAAACTATATTACCATGGAAACAATTATTCAATCAATCAGGAGAGCAATTATTTTTAGCTTTAATATTACGTCTACCTCGAAAGATATCTCTCAGAAATATTTCAGGAAAGTTGGAACTCAATACAGGTACAGAGACAAAAAAAAAAANACGAATGCAATTCGATTAATTTGCTACGTTCGTTTTGATGTTTTTGCATATTCCTCTCGGTGCTGTACCCAAATATTTTATTATAATTTTTCGTGGTATGTACGTTGTAAGAAAATGTAAAACTTAAACTTAAAGGAAAAGTCAAGCATTTAAGAAAGTCTAAAGAACATATAAAGTAATAATCCCTAATGAAAGATTAATAAATTTAAATAGATGAATCGAGATAGATGACTGGTGGAATGACGTTATCATTAGCAGTAAAAGCTGTATAGGATAAAAAAACGGGATAAGTAAGGAGTTGTAAAGTTGTACGTCTAGTGCCGGGTGGTAATTAGTATGTAAATATTGCTTAACAGAATTAACTGCTTTATTTTAGAAGAACAATCGAAGATTTATATTGTACGTTTTATTATACACATTTACTTTTATACATTGTTAATCTTTGTTATATTATAGCTTGAATAGACACCTGTTTTTCCATCCGAAATGCTTAGATATAAAAGTTTATTAAAGGTCATTACTTATTCTGAGACATTAAAACACACACACATATATACGTATGCTTAAAAGCAGAAAATATAAAACTAAATATTGGTTCAAGTTAACGTTTCTAACACTGAATAATTAATAATGAGTTATCTCACCCTGATAGGAAATTTCTTTTTCATGTAAAAGAAGCCTCCTATGGATATTCCAATGGGTGTTTTCCCAAATCTCTTCATATAATTTAGCATCTGAAAGAACAAGTAAAATATTATTTAACATTTTCATATATAGGGGAGATCGGGGCAACTTCGGTATGCGGGGCAAGTTTGTCAAGCGCTTTTTTTAAAAAACAAATTAAAAGGAGACTTTGGTTATAGGTTAGGCAGTTGAGTTTTATTGGTGGCTTGTTGAGTGTAGTGTTTTTATTGTTCTCCAACAAGCGTAGTTGAATTATCAAGCAAATTTTCATTTTCGTTCAATTCCATATAATATTTTTTTTCCATTTATATTGAATTGGCAGGTTTTGTTATAATTCCATGATAACGAAAGTTA